CTCCCTGCCGTGCGGGGGCTACCAGCCCCTCCACAGGACCCGAAGGCCCAGTGCAGGGGGTCCGTGTCCTTCCAGCACCTGCAGTTCCGTGGAGGGCACGGGAATCCATGCCGATGCCCCTTCCTGCCCGCCATGGGCCGCACGGAGGGCCGCTGCCCAGACATGCACGTCGCATGGCCTGGGCCCCGACTGGCAGAGGCGTGTGTAGGGAGAGTGTTCTCAGGTGGGACCGCAGGGACAGCGAGCTTGCGTGATGGACGGTTCTAGGTGCTCCCGGCAAAGGTCAGCTCGGGGGCCTCGGGGCCTTGTCTGGCTGGACGAGAGCAGAGAAGGAAGCATCCTGTCAGTGCCCAGGGATGCCACGTCTCCCCCACTCCCGGGATGGCCAGGGCCAGGCGCAGGGCCCACGCCCAGGGGAGGACGATGCTGGTGAGGGGTGGCGTGCCCCCCAGTGACACCGTGCCTTCCCACTGCCTTCCAGGTGCTTCAGAGGTGTGTGGGTCTCTTCCCGATGGGCTGTGACTCTGGCTGACACCGGGCTTCTCACTTTCTCTGCCCTGACCGTGTGGCTGGGTCAACGCTCTCCAGACGCCCAGGAGTGCCCACAGCCCCTCGTATGGGGGCCCACATGGGGCCTGCACCCCCAGGCCTGGCAGACGGGGCTCACACCCATGTCTGCACCTGGGGGCTAGCCGCCGTCCACACGGTCTTCTGCCAGGCATCAGCCACACCTGTTGCCTCGTGTGGCGAGGGAGCAAGTGGCCCCGTGGACACCCCTCCCCCGTGCCTGCCTGATTCCCCACTGCAGGTGCAGAAAGGGGAGGCCACGCCCTCAGGGCCTGGATGAGGCCGGGTCCTCCAATGCCGCTGCCTCCCTCCTCCCCTGCAGCTTCTCTGCTCCCGAGCTCCTTCCACCCGGGGCCTGGCCCTCGGGTTTCCCACTCAGCTCAGCCCCTGTCTGGACCCTCACACCAGGACCAGTGCAGAGGGCCTGCGGAGCGCCCCTGCCCAGGCCTGGTCGAGCTTGCTTCCTCTGGCGTGCTGCGCGCACGCTCGGGTCCTTGGAGCCTCTCATGAGATGGGAGGAGTGGCCTGTGCACTTCAGCGCCAGATGTTGCTCTTCGGGGAGGGGTTCAGTGCACCCCTTCCCCTCGGCCGGTGCACGGCACCCAGCAGGCCCCACAGACCACGGGCAGGCGCCGAGAAGCTGCGGTGTCCTGCCTGTGGGTCCGGCGGACTCGGGGCAGCGGCGTGACTGGGCGTCGGAGGACAGCCCGTGCAGCTGGGCGGCTGCGGGGCTGGGGGGCGGGCGGGGCCTGGGGCAGAGCCCAGGGCTGAGGGGACTGGGAGGAGGGAGGTCGGTCCAGGACTTGGCGGGAACTGCTGCCCTCGTCCCAGACCGGGATATGCCGACAGCAAGGCCCTGTCTGAGGATGCCTGCCAGGGCCCGGCTCCCTGCCAGGTGGCAGGACGTGGCACAGGCCAGGGTCTCTGTGGTGGGGCCCTCGGCCCACGGCCCCGGCTCATGCGGCCCCTCTGCCCCTGCAGGTGGTGAAGAAGGTGAGATCTATGCAGATGTTCCACAGGCCCGTCACCTCAGCCCTGCAGGGCGACCGGCTGGGCTTGTGCGTCACCCAGTTCGACCCCAAGCTGCTGGAGCGCGGGCTGGTGTGTGCCCCTGGGTCGCTGCACACGGTCCATGCAGCCCTCATCTCAGTGGAGAAGATCCCGTACTTCCGGGGGGCCCTGCAGACCAAGGCCAAGTTCCACATCACCGTGGGCCACGAGACCGTCATGGGCCGGCTGCTGTTCTTCAGCCCCGCGCCCGACAGCTCCGACTGCCAGCCCCAGCTGGACTCCTTCGACTTCTCCCGCGAGTACCTGTTCCAGGAGCAGTACCTGTGCCAGGACACGGCGCCCACCGCGGCTGACGGCGCCCAGGCCCCCGAGCGGACTGGCCGGGCCCCCGAAGGCTGCTGGCCGCGGCAGCAGTGGGCGCTGGTGGAGCTGGAGAAGCCCGTCACCTGCCCCCGGCTGTGCCTGGTGATCGGCTCCAGGCTGGACACCGACGTCCATGCCAACGCCTGCCGGCTGGCTTTCCACGGCGTGCTGCTACACGGGATGGAGGACCGGCACTACGCCGAGAGCTGCCTGCCCCAGCTGCGCGTGTACAAGCTGAAGCACAAGCAGGGCCTGGTGGAGCGGGTGAGTGCCCCCCGCCAGCCACTGGGCAGCCCCGAGACTCTGCTCTCACCAGTCAGCCCAGCCCAGCTCGCCACCCTCCCTCCTACAGGGGCAGCCCGAGTGGGCTGGGCTCCCAGAGCAGTCTCCCCACAGACCCTCCCGCCTGGGCTGCTGTGCCTGTCAGACTGTGTGGCCCAGGTCCACCCAAGGGGACGGCCATCCATCGGGCAGGCCAGGCCAGAGCTGTCTACCCCGCCAGTGGAGGGCCCGATGGTGGGGTCAGGGAACAGAGGCAGGAGGGTCCAACCCTGGCTCCCTGGGCTCGTGGGGTCCCGGGGCAGGTCTGAGGGTGGGCAAGCTGCCCGGCCGCAGGCTGCCGTGGGAGGCAGAGCATGCTGGGAAGTCCTGGACTGCCGTCCCCCCAGCAGTGCCTGGCCATGCAGTTCTGGGTCTCAGAGGACGGTGGGTGTCCAGCCTGCACTGCCCAGTGGCGGGCCCCCTGAGCAGCATGTAAGGGGCAGTGTGGCTGCGGTGGTCCTGGGGCCTGGAGGGCTGTGGCCACTCAGCTCTGAGCACTGCTGCCTGTGGCGTTCAGGGCTCTGGCTCCTAGCAGGGTCCCCTGAAGCACTGATAGCACTGTGGCTCCTTCTGGGTTCAGTGGAGTGGGCACCACCTCCGCTCCCTGCCCCACTCCCTCCCTTCCTCCCTTCGGGCCCACGGGCTTCCTCCTTGGAGTACAGCCACTGCAGGCCCCCATCCGCTGGGGTTCTTCCTGGCGCCCTGTGCCCTCGGTGGGATCGGTGGCCCTTCCTTTCCCTCTCCAGCTGGGAGGCCCAGCTCGGGCAACCCAGAGGATGACGGTGGGGCAGAGGGACACTCCCCGGCCAGAGCTGGCTGCTCCTGGGCCCTCCTGCCTCCCCCCGCACACCTGCATGTGCCTGCACTGGCGATGAGCCGTCTCGAGTCCGTAGTCACCCTGGGGAGCACGCGAGACCCTCCCTTACGCACCTTCCAGTTATCAATGGCTTGCTTCTTCCTAAAATTGTGTGTGTGTAATTTGGGGGAAAGTAGTATATGCACACAGTAAAAAGTCTAAACCCAAAAAGTTACTTGGCGGAAGTCAGTTTCCTTCCTCCGAGCCCAGGCCAAGAGGGAGGCAGGCTGGAAGCCAGCCCAGAGACACACGGCGACCGCTAGAGGCCACGTGGTGGCCAGGGCAGAATGTCACCCCGCTGGACTGGCCTCTGAGCCATGCAGGCTCTGATAGCTGCCAGGGGTGGTCCTGGGGGCTGCCTCTAGTGGGAGGTGGCCAGCCTGGGGGCGCAGAGCAGCCCAGCCCTGTGTGGGCAAGCGCTTTGTGGCAGCAGTCTTACTCTGTCCTTCACTGGAGGGACAAGCAGTTTGGGCCCCACAGGGTGGAGAGGCCTGCATGTGAGTGCACGCCCAAGATCCCGGGAGGAGAGTGGCTGTGGCTCTGGGGGAGTGATTTCTCACTTTCCCTCTCTCTGTCTCTCTCTCTCCCAGTGAGCTCATGTGCCCTAAGGCCAAAAAAAAAGCAAAATGTATTAGAAACTCAAAAAGAATTTGATTAAAAAATAAAAGCAGAATTCTCACTACAGTGGAGTCTTCAGAACCCATACTTTAAGAGTCCGCTGGCCTTGGGAACCAGCAGTTAGCGTAATGGCTATGTTGTTGGACTCCCACGTAGTTGACCGCGGTTCGTGTCCCGGACCCGGTGGCTTAAAACTCACGCCGGGCACGTGTGCGTACGTGCCCAAGATCCCGAGATGAGAATGGAGGAGAAGGGATTGCGGTGTGACCATCCCCCCTGGGGGGTGATTTCTCGCTTTCTGTCTCTATGTCTCTGTCTGTCTGTCTGGCGAGCGCACGCGCCCTACAGTGAAAATCTCTCAAAAAAAAAAAAAAAGAGTCCGCTGGTAACGGGTAACGGGTCAGGACAAAGGCAGAATGCCGATACCCTGCGCTTCCAGGTGGATAGGCAGATAGGAGCGCTCGCATTTCTCGGATAGAGTACACGTTATGTGTTCCTGTGGGCAGGGCACCCCGCCAGGCTGCCCCCGTGTACTCTCACCTGCTGGTGGCAGCCATCAACCTGTGCGTACGGTGCGGTGGGGACGTGGAGCTCCAAGGTGCGTCCCGGTTCACGTCCCGAGGTCTCCTGTGCAGGCTGCCTGGGGCTCAGCGGAAGACCGTGGGCATCGCGCTCTGTCTCTCATAGAGGCAATGAACCTCACACACCTGCTGCGTGCTGCCTTAGAAGGCAAGCCTGCTGTCGCGCCCTCCGGCGGCCGTACTCCGGCTCACAGACTGCGCAGCTGTGCCCAGCCGTGAGGGGGTGTGCTCCTCTGCCTCCCGTTTGTTTCCTGCTCGGAAGTCGGCAGGCAGCGACTGTCGTCTGGTCGGGCCTGGCTCTCGGAGCTCTTTTCTGTTTCCCTTTCCCTGATCGCATCGTAGATCAAGGCTGGGAGTCTTTGGAGTGCGTGTAGCACCCCTGTGACCCACTCACCTGCCCGTTAATGGGGCGAGGCCAAGGTGCAGGCCCTCCCAGGGGCAGCGGGGTGTCACTCTCTACCATATGTACGCCCTCGCGTCATGTGGGATAGCACGTGAGTCTGTCTCGTTCTTGATTGTGTGTGCGGGAGCCGCGGATGCGTGCTCACGTAGAGACAGAGTACGCTTCAGCTCAGCGGGCCTTGGACATGAGGGGTATACTTGGAAGCCGGCCTGGACCTCGGCTGGCCACATGGCTTCCGGCACCGTGCTTCAGCTTGCTAGCGACGGCACCCCAGCGCCTCCATGTGCTTGAGCCATCAGCTCCCTCCACACCGGCTCTGTCTGGAGATCCGTGTAAGGAAAATTAGTAGGTAGCCCTCGGCACAGGAGTGCCAGGAGAGCTGAGCTGGGCATGGGCCGTGACCCCAGAAAGTCGCCTGAACGTCAGCATATGCGACGCTGTCTGCCCCGCACACCGAGGCCAGGTCTCATGGGAGAGTGGGTCTCTGGTGGAGCACAGGGACGTGCCTGGACAGGCTGTGGCCAGGGCTGCCCACGACCTGCTGGCCCGAGAGAGGGAGTGCAGAGCCGCCAGGGCAGAGGTGCAGAGAGGCGGCCTTCATCAGTGTGTTGACACGCTGCACGGTCATGGGTCAGACGGGCGTGCGTCCCAGGTCCAGGCGCTGCTTCTGCATAGCGGAAACCAAATGGCACCTGGCCCTGGGTCCTTGGGGAAAGTTTCCTCGGCACCAGACAGCGGCCACAAGGGCGGAGACTTGAGCTGGGCAGGCCCTGCCTTCCGAGCTGACCCGTCGTCCTGGAGCAGGGAAAGGAGGCCAGCTGCGGCTGTGGGGTGGGGACTCTGGCTCGCGGTGCTGAGTCCTGGGGCAGCCGTCCAGGAGGGCCAGCGGCAGCCTGGCCAGGGTGCACGCACGGGGCCCTGGCTCTATGCAGCTGGCTCCTCCGCTCATAGCAACCATGTGCCTGGGACGGAGTCGGGCATGGAGCCGGGACAGCAAGTGCCGCACTGCACACCCGCAGGCCTTCTGCCCGCAGTGTGCGCAGCTCTGCCTGGCCCCTGCTCCTCATCACAGGCCTCCAGGTCAACATCAGTGGGACAAGGACAGTGGTCACACCAGGTTTGTCACCAGCTGGCCGGCATTCTCTGGGGGTTTGGGGCCCAGGGTGGGGCTGGCGGCAGGCCAGACCTGGTCGGGGGAGAGAGGGGCAGCCAGCCTCAGGCTTCCTCGTGGGCGATGGGAGCCAGACTCCATCTGGGGATGGGCTAGGGACAGGGCGATGCACCTGGAACGCTGAGGCCCCCGTGAGGAGCGGTCCTGGCCACCGTGGGCAAGCACGAGTGTTGGGACTTTAGTCAGGGTACGATGCAGGGGTCCCAGCACCCCACCGTGAGGTTGGGCGGGCACACCTGCCATTGCAGTCCTGGCACCAGTTGGCATCAGATGGGAGTGTGAGGACGCAGACGGGGCGCTGGGCAGCTCCTGGCGCTGCCTGGCTCTTACCAAAGGCTCGGCACGTGCCAGGACCAGGTGCTCCAAGCAGGCAGCCAGCAGGTCTGTGGGCCCAGGCAGGTCAGCGCAGCCCCTGCCCTTGGAAAAAGCCGCGCCGCAGGCTCTGTCCTGCTGTCCCGTGCCCGCAGGGCAGAGTTCCCGCAGGACCGATGCAGTGAAGGCCTCTCCCTAGAGCCACCTGGTGTCCTGGCCCGAGCCCAGGCCCAAGCCCAGACCCTCAGCCCTGCTCCTGGCTGCCAGTGTGGGAGGCCGGACCCTTGGCCCCACTCGGCAGCCCAGGTGCTCGTTCATGCCCTCAGAGCTCGGTGGTCCCTGTACACCCAGGGCTGGCTCCAGGCCCACGGCCACAGGAGCACAGGCGTGGACGGTGTCCCCGGAAGGCCACACATGCAGAGGGCCACAGGAGCACAGGTGTGGACGGTGCCCCGGGAGGCCACACGTGTGGAGGGCCACAGGAGCACAGGTGTGGACGGTGCCCCGGGAGGCCACACGTGCGGAGGGCCCACACTGGCCAGTCTCTAGAACATGCTTGGGAAAATGCCCATCTGCCCTCGTGGGCCCTGATGGTGCCATCACCCGTCGGCAGCTGAGTGACAGTAGAGGGTGGCTCTGTGGGGTGCAGGGGAGAGGCCGTACGAGGGCCCGGCATGTGGGGGACAGCCCTCGAGCCTGAGCACCTGACGCGGCAGGCGGACAGCACGTTTGTCCTGGTCTAGGGCCCTCCACCTGGCACGCCAGGCCTCCAGGCCCCAACCAGCTAGGTGACCTGGAGGGTGGCGTCCCACCCTGGGCGCTCTGCCGTGGGGAGTGGTGACCCTCCAGGAGCCTTCGGGCACGGGCGAGGCCGGAAGCCCTTGCTGGGGTCGGAGCGCTCCCGACCCCTCCTGTCCTCTGAGCCCTGGCCCTCGGCCATTGCGGGCAGGATTGGAATAGTTGCTTCAGAACTTGGCCCCTTCCCAAGCCTCATCCCAGAGCTGGCCCGGCGACGGGCATGTGCCGTGGCAGCCGAGTTCCCGCCGGGGCCGGGGCCGGGGCCGGCGTAGCACCGCCCAGAGAGCAGTCCCTCAGCGGGAGCTGGCGGTGCTGCAGGCGGTTCATGTGCAGGGCGACATCCAATGCCAGGGCCCTGCCTGGACCCGACACTGTCCCCGGGAGCAACCACGGCTCCACCCTGCACATGTGCCAGAAGGTTCTCCGTGCCTGTGCGGTGTCGGAAGGCTGGGCGCTGTCCTTCAGCTGGAAGGGCTGTCAGCTGAGGAAAGGAGCCCGCCTCCCCACACTCTTGTGGTGGACCGGGCAGAGCAGAGCACATGGCGTGCCCTCCCTCCTGACAGCCAGGGCTGCCGACCCCTGGGCTTCCCAGGCGCGGGCCCCTCGGCCTCCTGTGGTCAAATGAGGCTCCGTGTAGAGGCATGTGGATGCACACGCACACTCCTGTGGTCTCTGGGGGTGCGTGTGGTGGTGCAGGAGAGCTCAGGCCAGCCCCCGGCCCGCCTGGCTGGGGAGGCCAGTCCAGGGAAGCTGCCGTCCAGCAGCTGCCATGGTGCCGGGGGAAGCACCGGAACTCGCTCCTGGCAGCCCCATGGCCAGTGGGGTGGAGGCCCGCGGGACACCAGCCTTGGGCCTGCCTCTCCAGCCCTCCTCCCACCGTGCCAGAAGCCCGTTTCCCCTGGGGTTTGCAGCCTCTCGTGCGGGACTGGAAAGCCGTGTGGGGCCGCAGTGGCTCGGCCTGGCTCGGCCTTCATGAGCCCTGCTCCTCCCGGCCCCGCCAGCTGCCTGGCCCTGCTTTCCCTTGTCGCCGGTAACCGGGAGGCCTGTGCTGGAAGTGAGGTGGCTGCATCCGCCGCAGTGAGCCCTCTTGGCCGCCACGACCACAGATGCCCAGCCTCCCCTGCCTCATTCTGTGGGTGCAGGAACCAAGGCGCCGGCCCCAGCTAGTGGCGCTCTGAGTGTGGGAGGGCCCCTCGCGATGTCATGGTGGAGCTCCTTCCTCCCAGAACTCAGGTGGGCCGGGCTGTCCACTGTCCTTGACTGCGAGGGGCCCTGGCCCGATGCAGCTCCTGGACTGTGGCCGGCTCTGCCCGCCTTTCCTCCCACCTCCTGCCTTGCTCGGCCTGACTCAGGCTTTCCCGGCCTGGGGCCACCAGGGAAGGACTGTCCGTGCCCCTCAGCTGGGCTCCCAGACCCACGGCATGTGGCCCACCTAGAGTGGCTCGGGGGAGCCCAAAGGCTGGGCCTGATGGCTACTGTGGCCCTGTCCCCCTTGGCTCTGTGCAGGCCCACCGTGGGGCACAGGCAACGTGGAGGGGGCTGCCACGCCCACTGCTGAGTGCCTGTGTGCCAGTCATCCAGCCGTGTGGTGGCTCGAGGCCCCAGCAGGGCTGTCTGGAGAGCACTGGTGCGGGGCCTGTCCATGCCGTGCCGTCTCCGCTGTCTCCGGGCGTCTGAGCTCTGGGGTCTGCCGTGGCTCCCTCTGCTGCCCAGCTTACCTCCCAAGGCAGAGGCGGCCCACTACCCAGACCCACACCGGCGCAGACCGTGGACACGGCAGGGTGGAGTCATACACACAGCCTGGCCATGTGCCAGAGCCCAGATCCCAGACCTGCAGCCCCGGACCCCACAGAGGGGACCCAAGACACAGGGCTTAGTGGGAGGCTGGCCGCCAGCTCTGCTGTCTCGTGGCCGTCCATGCTGCGAAGTGAGGCCGCGTGACAGGACTGCTCCCTTTCCGAACAGCCCTGCAGCCCCAGGGGACCATGGTCAGCCAGCAGGGGGGAGCCCAGGCCCCCTCGGAAAGGCCACTTGCCCCTCCTTACCCCCATGCTGAAGGCATGGTCTCCGTGCAGGTTGGAGCCGAGCCGGGCCCACCTCCGCGGGCACGGCAGTCAGGGCGGCCCCAGGTCGGAGGAGAGCAGCCCCCGGTGCCCAGCTTCCCGAGCTGAGTAGTAGCACTTAAACTAGGTTAGGGTTGGGGCTGTCCGCTGTGAGAGCTCCAAGGCTTTTTGAAGTTCCCCTAAAGTTAATAAAATTAGTCTGTCGTTGTTGCAAGACCCCCGAGTGGGGAAGATGGCTTCTCCGCTGTCTCTGCTGCATTCGGCTTTTCAAAGTGAGTATTTTATAACCGGAGGGTGGGGGAGTGCAGTAAAAGTCCGAGAGGCCTCAGCTAATATGCAGCAGGCCTGCCCCAGGCTCAGTGTGGGGCCCGGCTTGGGCCTCTGGGGGGCCCTGCCACTGGTGCCTGCGTGAGAAGGGACCACGCAAAGCCTGGGGCGTACCACTGTGTGCTCCATGGACCGTGGGCTCAGGGCTGGTTGGCACTCCCTGAGAGTCGTGCCCGAGGGCATGTCCCCGGAGGCCTGTGTTGCAGCCTGGTCTCTGCTGTCTCACGCAGGGCTACCATGATGGTGCCCCGCCCAGGTCTGCGGTCTCCTTTCCTGGCACCGTGGTGGTCAGGCCATGGTGGAGGACAGGCAGCGGAAGCCTTTTCCTCGAGCACCCCCATCTGGTGGGGGAGACGGGCAGGTCAGGCCCTGGGAGAGGAGGTGCCCTGTGACATGAGGGCACAGGGCGGGGCCTGGGCAGAGACCCACGGGCGCGCTGAGACAGGCCACGGGCAGGGAGGGAGAGGCACTCGGGCGTGGCCACAGAGGCTCACAGGTGCGAGCTCTCCAAGCAGCCCACGGTGTGCACTTGGGCGTGTGTGCTGTGGGCGTGGTCCCGTCCCAGCCGAGGGGCTAAAGACCACGGGTACGTGAGCCTGGCACGTACTCGGCCGCAGCGGCCATGAGCCAGTCAGCAACCCCTGTTGGTGGCCAGGTCTGGGCATTGCAGGCACACGGAATTCCTCTGAGGCTGAGGCTGGTGTAGGCCTGATCTTGGGCCCCAGCCCCACAGGGTCCCCCGGCCCCTGTCCCAGGACACCTGCCACTGCGCACGTGCCCAGGCCACGCACATACTGGCAGGGTGCTGGAGACCAGGAGGAAGCTTCCGCGTCGGCCCCGAGGTGGTGCCTGGGGTTCCGCCCAAGGGGCATCAACTGCTCTGCGCCCGTGGACCCAGCAGCCACCCCAGACCCTCAGGCAGAAGCGCTGCCAGCTCTTCTGGAGTCATCGGGAGAGGAGCTCGCGCGCGGACATACCCTCTGTCCTGCAGGGCGCGCAGTGGCCTCTGTGTCAGCTGCACCCCACCCTCCAGGCCGGTGGGACACACCAGGCAGGAAGGTGAGCACTTGGGCCCACAGTGAGGGACAGGTGACATCTTGTCACAGCGGCGAGGGCTTTCCTTTCACGGAACGAGAGCAAGTTTGTGCAGCTAGTGCAGTGCCCAGGCCACGGTCAGAGGAGGCCGGGCGTGACGTGGTGGGGGTGGTCAGAGGAGGCCGGGCGTGGCCTGGCAGGGGTGGTCAGAGGAGGCCGGGCGTGGCGTGGAAGGGGTGGTCAGAGGAGGCCGGGCGGGGCGTGGTGGGTGGCTGTACAGAGCCCGAGCTTGGCTCTCCAGCTGCCCGTGTGTGTGAGGCCCCAAAAGGCTACCTGGTGGGGAGGGCGTGGCCAGTGTGGCCAGCGTGGCCATGCTGGGCCTGCGTGTGGAAGGAGACCTGCCCCTCTGGGTGGATGTCAGGAGAGAGCAGAGGCCTGGCATGCTCATCAGAAGGGGGACAGTTCCCAGCTGGGTCTCATGGTTTCAGCTTCGGTAACTGACCGAGTCGGCCACGCCTGTGTGTCTGAAAAGCCAGAAGGTGGCAAAGGTGACGGGGCGGCCCTGCTCTCTCCGGGCCGCTCAGTCTCGGGTCCCCGCTGCCATCCAGCCTCTGTCATGCTGCCTCGCGGTGCGCTCTGCCCCTCACTTGGCGTGGTGCCTGCAGCGTGCTGCCCTGGGCGGTGCTGCTCGGCCAGGTGGTGCTGGAGGCTGCAGGTCCTTGAGCACACGCGGGGCCACTGGGGCGTCCAGACGTGGCTGCCATAGACCTGCCACATGCGTACCCACGCTGCACAGCGGGTTGCCGCAGCGAGCTCTGCCTAGGAGCGCAAGGCCGGGTCCGAAGGCGTGCGCCTACACCTCACAGGGTCCTGTCCTGGCTGTTGGAGGCAGAACATGGAGGCCTCCAGGCCATGCCGCTCTCCCTGAGGTGGGGCCTGGGCTAGAGCTGCGGGAGGCCCCGAGGGAGGGCCCGTGCTTCCCTCCTGGTCAGGCCCTGGACAGGGCTCGTGACTAGCGTGGCTGCACGGACTCCAGGGACCTCTTCTCACCCCTTTCCCCTCAGCCTGGTACCCACAAAGGGACAGATGGGCTTCACCAGGCCCAGGGACCACAGTGGGTCCGCGTGACTGGGCCAGGATGGCACGTCCTGGCAGGGCCCGGGTGTGTAGGTGGGAGCAGCCATGGGAGACATCAGCTCTCAGCCCCTCTGGCAGCCACAAGGCTGGGGAGGCCCCTTAGGAAGCCCCGCCCAGGCTGGAGGTGATGCCATTCCTTGGCCTGTGCAGGTGCAAAGCTGTCAGGAGCCACGTCCTTGGGCACTGCAGAGGGCAGGCTGCAGCAGAGGCCGGATTCGAAGCCACTCTGGCCCTGCCAGCGGGGAGGGCTGCAGCGTGCTGAGCCAGGACCTTGCCGGCCGGGCGCGGCTCGGCGGGGCCAAGTGCTGGCGGTCGTGAAGGTGGGGCTCAGGGTCCAGCCTCTGTGTGATTCGCCACCCGTAGGGGCTGGAGGCAGTGGCCCTAGCGTCCCCAGTGTGCCTGCAGAACTAACCCCCTTCTCTCCTGGGCTGCGAGACAGGCAATTGATGACCACAGCGTGATTGGCCGCTCCCTGTTCAAAAAAGAGACCAACATCCAGCTCTTCGTGGGGCTCCGAGTGCACCTGTCCACAGGGGAGTCAGGGGTCATCGACAGTGCCTTCGGCCAGAGCGGCAAATTCAAGGTCCACATCCCTGGTAAGTGGGCCTGGCCTCTTCTCGGGCACGGGGGGCAGAGGCGGCCCCGAGACAGTGCTCCTCGGCAGCCTCCTGACACACTGTTGCCGGACACTGGCTGAGCTGGCCTACGTGGAGCCAGGTCCAGGCCAGGGTCTGAGTCCCCACTTTCCCATCGGGGCGACCTTGAGCATATCCGCTACCTCAGTGCAGAGGGGACTAACGACATTGGCCTCTCGGGCCGGTTTAGGGGAGGAGGGGGTGGGGAGGCACCCAGGGTCTGGCCCACCATGCTGGCACCCCAAAGGCGTCCAGAGCAGGAGTGGCCACCTTCTCTTCCCTGGCAGAGAGCCCCAGGCTCAGAGCTTCCCACTGGGTCTGAGCTTGGCCACGGCTGGGTCAAGGGGGGTCAGTTGCTATTGGTGAGAGCCTGGGACAGCTGGGTGTAGCTATCCTTCAGCCTCTCCTGCCTCGTGTGACCCGCGTGTTAGGGAGGCCCGCTGTGGGGCAGGCTCGCTCTTGTGAGGGGCCTGTGCCGCGCCGTCAGGCAGGGCCGGGGTGCCGTCTGGGACAGGGTGTGGGGGGCTCTCTGAAGACCTCCCAGTTGAGTAGAGGCCTGATTGGAGGGAGGACAGAGCCACACAGGCGTCTGGGGGAAGAGCCGTCCGCAGGGGAGGTCAGTGCAGGGCTGAGGTGAGGAGGGGTGTGGCTGGGGTGTGGGCAGGCACCTGGCAGTGTGAGCCCGTGGCCCCTTACGTACCCCAGCATCGAGGCACAGCACTCCCGGGCGTCCTACAGTGCCCGCGTGTCCTGCAGTGCCCCACCGTCCGGCCGCTGCTCTCTGCACAGCACTGCCCGCTGCCGCTGGGAGGCTCGGGGGCCGAGGGATGTCACCCAGGCAGTGGCACGTGCTGGCTGGGCGCCTCAGGGGTGGCTCTCCCCGCTATGGTGGCACCCAGCTCAGTTCCCTGCCCGGCTCCATACCCTTCCCTGTCAGAACTGCCCCAGGGACGCTGCCTCCCCGGCCCTCCGGTGCACAGCAGGCAGACATGGGTGCCACCCTGTCCCGAGCCCTGTGGCCTGGGCCTCCGTACCCACTGCGTGACCGCCCCTCAGCCTCCCTGGTTGGGCTGAGGTAAGGGAGGCAGAGCCACTCCCGGCAGGAGGCTCCGGGGTCAGAACCCTGCCTCCTCGTCCCCATGGCCCGGCTCAGCCCACGGGGTCTCCCCGCGTTCCTCAGGCAGCCCAGACCCAGTCCTGAGGCCCTCGTGCATCCTGCCCAGGCTGGCGTGAGCTCTCTGGGAGGGGACTGGGAGCCCCTTGGCCAGGGCTGCTGGCCCACCTCCTGCGCGGCTCTGGGCCTGCTCTTCCAGGGGAGGGCACCACTGCCTGGACTGACCTTGGTCCCTGGGGTCAGGCCAGCCTCCCTCGTCCGTCCCCAAGCCCAAGGAGCAGGTGGTCCCGAGAGCCCAGGCCTGGGGTAGGGGAGGAGGGTGCTCTTGGCCTGCGGGGTTGCATTCCCCTAGTAGCCGCCTGCTTCCTGCGTGGCTTCTAAGCGTCCTGTGAAATGTCACCACCAGACCTCCTCCCGCTCCCTGCAAGTCCTCAGATGTCTGTGAAGTGCCTGAATGGAGAATTTGGAGCCGGCAAGAGCCAACCAGGGCCGGGTGGGCAGGGCCGGGTGGACAGCGCCGGGTGGATAGCGCCGGGTGGGCAGGGCCGGGTGGGCAGCGCCGGGTGGACAGCGCAGGGGGGCAGGCTCTAGGCGGGGAGGGCAGATGGCGCC